TATCCTCCCTGGTCATCGTCCAGCTCTCTGATGCATAACAAGTGACTGCAAAGACCATGGCCTGTACCAGACGCACCTTAGTCTCCAGAGACACATTGTTGCTCTTGAGTACTTTAGAGAGGTCCCTAACAGCGGACTTTCCCATCACAATATGTCTTTTAATTTTCTGGCTGCTGGTGCCAAGAGTGTTGATTGTGGAGCCAAGCAGACTAAAACTGTGAACAATCTCAATCTCTTCACCATCCATTCTGATGCTGCCAATTAGTCTCATTTAGCAGTGGTTAAGTGATGTCGAGTTAAATATGACTCAGAGTAAACTTTGCACAAAAGATCTGAACACTGTTTTATAATTAACATAATTTCTGTACATTTATAAGAGAGTTTGTAGAGTTTCCAGAAGCATCTGGCTTAGAAAGTGGATGCCACTCCTGCTTCCCAACATGAATCAATCTGGAAGCTCATCCAACTATTGTACATATTGGGTAACCAGTATATTTTAACGTGACTATGGGATAGTGTTCAGCATCACAGCAACTCCAAGTTATTCAATACAGCAAATAGACAAATGATTACTGTGTCTTTACAGACGCTTCTTCTAAAATTTAAAATAAACAAATAATTAATTAATTGGTTGAGGGCCGCAAGCCCGAGGGCCCTACAGGATTTTAAGCTACAGCCTCAAGCAGGGCTCCACCCTTACTTAGCCTTAGTATAAGGCTCAAGGGCCACTCACCTACTTTTGAGGGGCAAAAAGAACAGTTAGCTCCTGTCGAGTTGACCCTATGAATGAAAGATCTGAGCCCTATCCTACATCATCTTCATGATCTTTAAGTCTCAAGCCCATTGTGATAATCACTCTGTCAATCTATTTTATTGAGACACTTCCTCTTTTTCTCTGACCCTTTATCTTTCCAAGAATGTTGTCTCTCTCCAAGAACTGATTCCTTCTGAGGATATGCCTAAGTGAGTGAGACAAAGTTTCATCATCCTTGCCTTTAAAGAGTACTTTGGTTGCAATTCATTCAAGACAATTTGTTTGTTCTTTTGGCATTTCAATGTATATTAAATTGTTGTTTTTAGGTGCTATTCAGTCGAACACAACCCATAACAACCCTATAGACAACAGATCTGAACTCTGACCTATCCTGTGCCAACCTTATAGTTCCTGACACACTAGATAGAGCCTACTGTAGCACCTACTATGCCAATCCATCTGGTTGAGGGAATCCTCTCCTTTGCCAGCCCTCTATGTTTTCAAACATAATATTCCTCTCCAAGAAATAGCCTCTCTTAGCAACATGCCTGAAATATGTAAGGTGAAGCTTTATCATCTTTGTTTCCAAGGAGCACTCTGGCTGCACTCTTAGCCAATACCACAGTCACAGGCATAAATTCTTCTGTCATCCTGAATCATTGTCCTACTTTCAGATGTACAGGAAGCAATTAAAAATGCCTTGACTTGGATTGGGTGCATCTTAATCTTTAAACTGATATATTTACTTCATTTTAAATAGGAAAAAATATTCCTGCTTACAATGACTTTACAAATAATTTTACATTTGAGATATTATGATAGGAATCCCTACAATTGTTAGATCTTATGAAATGAAAAAAATCTCTCTACTAGTTTCAACAATACCTGTATTATCTTGATTAAGTTGCTAAAATTCACTGTATTTAATAATCTATTAAATAGTATGGATATATTGCTGCATTGAATAATATTATTATTTTTACAATCAAATAAGAAAATGTGTAAAATACTTATAATAATGCCTGACACATAGTACTTACTCAGTAAATGTTATCTATCAATGTTATATTTCTTTAGGGTTATGTTGCCTTAACTTCCAAAGACGAAGAAAACATCTTCTCTCCCAATGACACTTTTTTTCATTTTGTTCCTCTCTCATTACTTTTTAAAACTGTTCTTGTCTATACAATACACTCTCCTTTTTGGTAATACTCTTTCTTCTGTCTTATATTTTTCCTTTGACTCTTTCCTCCTAGTTGTGGTTTGTTTTTAATTTTGAAATTAAAAATCTGGTGGCCTAGTGGCAAGAAGCTGCACTGTAATCTCAGAGGTGTGTGGTTAGAATCCACCAGATGCTCTGCTGGAGAAGGAGGGACAATCTCCCCTTGTACCAGTCAGATCCAATTTGATGGCACACACAAAATAATAAAAGTTTTTTTAAAAAGAAATTAATAAATCTTTGTCCATTCTCTGGTCTCTATAACCTACATATTAATAATTACATATTATCATCCCTTTCTCTTTCTTTATGCAGCAGACCACGTGTCAACTTATGCAATGTTTGCACAGACAGAAAGTCCAACAGGGGAGTATATGTTTGAGTTTGATGAGGATGAGCAGTTCTATGTGGATCTTGACAAGAAGGAAACTGTCTGGCATCTGCCAGAGTTTGGTCGAGCCTTTTCCTTTGAGGCTCAAGGTGGGTTGAGCAACATTGTGATAATGAAGAGCAACTTGAAGATCATGATTGACAGGTCCAACCACACTCAAGACACCAATGGTAATGTCTTAATCCTACTGGGAAGGGTGAGGGGGCTCTTCTGCTAAACATAGAATGGGAATCACTATTGAGTGTCCGTCTTTCCTTGGGTGCTCATGCTAAGTCTAATATAGCTGAGAGGTTGGATCATCTTTCTCATTCAATAAAAACTTAAATCTGAGTGAGTTTGCTCAGTGAACTGAGACTCTCAGCTCTGAATCTTGATTAATAACTAGTATAAAAAACTAGGGAGCTCTGGTGGCCTAGTGGCAAGAAGCTGTGCTATAATCCTAAAGGTACATGGTTTGAATTCATTGGCTGCTCCATGGGAGGGTGGACAATCTCCTGTGCAATTAACTGCCTCTGAAAATCTACCAGAAGGTCAGCTATGGGTTGGTTCTGACTTGATGGTATAAAACAACAACAAGAAGGAAAGATTTACAGATAGAATCAGTCTTGGAGGGTTAACAGAGGTGAGAAGGGAGCAAAGAAAAGAAAATGATCTTGAGATGAACTCTATTTTAAAGATGGAATTGGGCCAGAAATGGGGACTCATCAGGTCCTGTCTCCAATCAGTGCCCCCAGAGGTGACTGTGTTTCCTAAGGAGCCTGTGGAGCTGGGCCAGCCCAACACACTCATCTGCCATATTGACAACTTCTTCCCACCGGTGCTCAATGTCACGTGGCTACGCAACGGAGAGGTGGTTACTAAAGGTGTCGGCGAGAGCCTCTTCCTGCCCAGAACAGATTACAAATTCTACAACTTCCAAAAGTTACACTACCTGACCTTCGTGCCCTCAGCGGAGGATGTCTATGACTGCAAGGTGGAGCACTGGGGCCTGGAGGAGCCATTCCTCAAGCACTGGGGTAAGGAGTCTCTCTCCCTCTAATCACTTCCCTTGTGCTTTCTTTACTCCCAGGTCCTGGTTCCCTCAGCACTTACTTATGCCATTCATTAGGTCTCAGTCCTCTCCTCTTCCTAATATACCATCAAATTATGTGTAACTTTCATCACTCGTACAAATTCCAGACCAATTCCACCCCTTTTGCATCTTCTAACCTCATATTTTTAATTTTTCTCCCCAGAGGCCCAGGAGCCAATTCAAGTACCTGAGACAACAGAGACTGTGGTCTGCATCCTGGGTCTGGCAGTGGGCCTGGTGGGCATCATCGCTGGCACTGTCCTCATCATAAAGGCTCTGCGTTCCAGTAGTAACCCCCAGGAACTGGGGATCTTGTGAGTTATTCTGGGTTTGAATATCTTAGGATTCAGTCAAAATAAAAGAGGAGAGGGCCTGGGATCTGTATTGTATATGGTAAAGAAGACAATTTGGATGGGTTCAATAATGTATACTGCATTGAATCAGATGAGGGAGAAAACTGTTTAAAAGGGCTATGTGATTAGGTATTTCTGTCATGACGGGAGTCCAGAGCGAAGGCTGCATAGTAGAGTGGACCTGGGGGGAGAGATTATAAAACAATGAAAGAATTTTTCTTTTCTTTTCCAATAGGGTAGTGTACTGGGGCGGGGAGGGTTGGGAGGGAAAAAAGAATGAATGAATGAATGAATGGAAATCCAAAGTCTCTGTAAATTGAAATTAATAATAATAATTAAAAAAAGACAATTTGGTAAACATACATTGAAATCTTAATGGAGTAACAGAGTTGGATAACAACAATACTACTAATAAATTATTGAGTATTTAATAGCTGTTAGGCACTATTTATTCTAAGTGCTTTACAAGTGTAGTATACTATGTGTTGGGCTGATAACTTCAAAGCTCCAAGCGTCTCTGAGAAAGAAAGAAGAAAACTCATAACGATTTACATCTTCAGCCGCAGTGGAAGGTAACTATGAGTTGAGATTACTTGCCAGCAGTAGTTTACATTAAATAATTACTTTTTCTTCACAGATACTATTTAACGTAGATACTATAATACCCACCATTTTACATATGATATATGTAAAGCTCAGAGATAATAAACAATTTGACCAACTCACATACTTAGCAAATAGTGGAGCTAGTTTTCCAAACGAGGAAGTCTGGATTTAAGACTGTTTAACCATTATCACAGTCTCTCTTTTTATTTTATGAAGAAAAAAGATGAAGTTGAAATTCCCAAGAAGCTCATAGCCTAGTAGTGGAGCAAGATACATTTCTTTAACACATAACTGGCACAAAGTGTGATAGGTACTTAATAGAAAGTTTGTTTTGACTTCCTTTGAGTACTACTGTATTCACTGAGTGGCAAGGTTCACAGATGCTCCTTCCGGGCTCCACTGACTTGTCTATCACTCCTTCCAGGGCTCCACTGACTTGTCTATTTACTGGTATAGCATACAGTATTATTTAGTGTGCATATTTAATTAACCAAAATAATACTATATAATTGGTATAATTTAGTCAGTGAGTAAATTGCCTCCAATTGTTCTAGCATATTTTACTATGTATATCTAGTTACCTATACTCCTCTAGGGGAGGTCTGGTGACTTTGTTGTTGTTAGACACTGTCTAGTTTAGTACAACTCATAGTGACCTATGTACAATGGATTTGAACACTGCCCTTTTCTATGCCATCCTCCTTATTTCTGCTGCTATATTTGGGCCCATTGTGTCAATTCATCTTGTTGAGGGTTTTCCTTTCTTTTATTAACCCTCTGCTTTTCCAAGCTTCATGTCTTTTTCCAAGGACTGACACTTCCTATCAGCATGCCCAAAGCATGTGAGACACAGCTTTGTCATCCTCACCTCTAAGAGCACCCTAGTTGCACTTTCTCCAACATGTATTTGTTTGTTTGTTCTTCTGGCTGTCCTAGTCTGCAGGAAATTTTCCTCCTAACTCAAAGGGTGTGCCTCCTCATGACCTGAATCCATCAGCATCTCAGAGGAAGAAATATGGGTATTTTCCTCCCATATGATTTATGGCCTCAAAAAACCTGCTAGAGGGTCAGCTATGAGTTGGTTCTGATTTGATGGCAATGAGTTAGAGATTTCTTTTATGAACCTGACTCTCTAGGGAGGAATTAGAGTCATCACCAGGATGCAACTTCTTAGTTTGATAAAGTGTAGCACAAATGTTCACCAGAAAGTTTGCACTAATCTGTGTTTTCTCCAATTGTTGTTGTTGTTACATGCTGTTGAATCACTTGTGACTCATAGCGACCCTAAACCTTGCTCTATGCTGTGCCAACCTCATTGTTTCTGACACACCTACTCCCACTACCTCAATCACTGAATCGATCCATCTCATCGAGCGTCTTCCTCTCCTGTGCTGTTCCTCCACTTGCCCAAACAGGATGTCTGTCCCTCTCCAAGGACTGGTCTCTCTTTGCAACATGCCCAAAATATGTCAGACGAAGTCTCAGAATCCTTGCCTCCAAGGAGCAGCCTGGTTTCACCCTCTCCAGAACAAACCTGCTCGTTCTCCTAGCAGTCCATGGTATCTTCAACACTTTTCTCCAGCACCAGCTCAAAGGCATTAACTCTCTATCATCCCTAGTCACTGTCCAGCTCTCTGATGCATAGCATGCAACTGTGAAGACGATAGCCTGGATCAGGTGCCCCTTAGTCTCTAGCCTGACATTGTTTCTCTTCAGTACCCTGGAGAGGTCCCTGACAGCTGAACTTCCCAGTGTAATTTGTCACTTGATTTTCTGGCTGCTGGTACGAAGAGTGTTGACTGTGGAGCCAAACAAACTAAAACTGTTAACTATCTACATCTCTTCGCCATCACCTGAAATCTTTTTGCAACATCTAAATTCACATCATCATTGTCTATTATTAATTTTTATTTTTGCTGAGTTTACTTTTATTTGCATGTCTCTTTTTTGTTGTTACGTGCTGTGAAGTCAACTATGCTTCATATTGACCCTGTGAACAACAGAGCTGAACCTTGCATTAGCCTGCACCATTCTCACAATCTCCAGTATGCTCAAGTCCATTGTTACAGTCACTGTGTCAGTCCATCTTGTTGAAGGTTTCCCCATCTTTCTCTGACTCTCCACTTTTCAAAGTCTTTTCCCAAGGGCCGGCCCTTCCTAATACCATGTGCAAGTATAAGAGCTGAAATTTCACCATTCTTGCCTCTAAAGAGCACCCTGGTTGTACTTCCTCCAAGACAGACTTGTTTGTTCCATGGGATATGCAGTACTCTCTTCCACACCAAAACTCAGAAGCATCAATCTTTCTTTTGTCACCTTTACTCATTGGCCAACTCTCAGATGCATAGGAAAGAACTGAAAATACCACAGCTTGAATCAGGCACATCTTAATTTTTAAATGGACATTGTTATTCTTTAGCACTTTAGAAAGGTCCTTGACAGTATATTTTTCCTACATAACACATCTTTTTCTATCTTTACTGCTACTACCATGAGTATTGATTGTGGATCCAAGTAAAGCAAAATAACTGACAACTTCAGTCTTTTCTTAATCTGTCTTGATGTTGCTTATTGGTCCAGTACAAGATTTTGTTTTTTTGATGTTGAGATACAGTCTATATTGAAACTATAATCTTTGATGTATATCTTCTTATGCATTGTATAATACTGTTTAGAGTACATGTACTTTTAATTAACAAAAGCAGTATAATCAGGTGTGCCTGAATATAGACAAAATAGAAATTCTTTAAGCTAGTATAGATCTAATTCTGTAATCTAATCTGTTGCTTCCAATGGTTTCACAGAATTCACCTAGGTACACAGCCTTATCTATATTCACACTGGGACACCTGGGTTGCCTCTCAAAACAAACAACTCACAAAAACAACCTAAATAAAACTCATTGCCATCTAATTAATTCCAATTTCCACTGTTCAGTGGGTTTCTGATCCTGTAAATCTTACCAGGAGGAGAATGTCCATCAGAGTCAAACCTCTAGAGATTTTCTGTCTTTTGGTTAGTAATACAACATGTTAAGTAATACATCATCAGAGTTCTTTGTTCTCCATCATTGCAAGCAATGCTTATGTTCCTAAGTGGATCTAAATCTCTGCAATGTACATGCCCTACAAGCTGGTTTGTAGGGTCATTGAGGATGTACTGCCTACTTTGATAAATACTGTCCAGCTGCTCAGCAGAATGTCTGCATTAATTTATATTTCCTCTATCAGTAATTGAAAACTTATGCAGCTCTTAAAGTCACATTGTAAAATACTAGTTTTGTGATTTTTGCCAATTTTATATCCATAAAGGAATATATTACTGTTGCTTAAATAGAACTTTCTTTAATTACCTGTAGTTATCGTCTATGTTT